TCTTTCTGACCCAGTTAACATGACTCCCTCCTTCCTCTCCCTTACTTTGGGCTTAGGTAGTCTGATTTGATGATGTATTCCGTAAATAAATATTATATATATATATATATATATATATATATATATATATATATATATATATATATATGTATATGTATATCCCACCCAGCCCCAATCCTGAGGCTTGAACTCAAGGCCTGGGCACTGTCCCTGAGCCTCTCTGTACTCAAGGCTAGCATTCTACCACTTAAGTGAGAGAGTGCTTGCCTAGCATGCATAAAGCCCTAGGTTCGATTCCTCAGTACCACCTATACAGAAAAAGCTGAAAATAGCACTGTGGCTCAAGTGGTAAGTGTAAGGTCCATTCCTGGACAGCGAACAGACCTCGCCCAATACCTACCTTACCTAGGCAACTGGGACACCTGGAAGAGGTCACATCCTCATCCCCTGAGGTCACATCTTAAGCTGATGTGGCCACACCTTTCTCCTACCTGATCCCACTTCCCTTTACCTGGACACACCCTTCCCCGCCCCCTACCCTATATAGGGCCTAACCGGGGGCCAGACGTGTTCTCTTTTGCCAGCTGTGTGGAGTGCCAACCTTGCCTTGTCCCATCAGGTCTACTGAATAAACCTACCCCTTACCTGAATACCACGTGCGTGTGCGTGGTACAGTTCTTACTCGGCTACCTCTTTTAAAAAACAGTAAGCAGGACGCTGGTGGCTCACGCCTGTAATCCTAGCTACTCAGGAGGCTGAGATCTGAGGATCTCGGTTCAAAGCCAGCCCGGGCAGGAGACTCCTATCTCCAATAAACCACCAGAAAACCGGAAGTGGCGCTGTAGCTCAAGTGGTAGAGCGCTGGCCTTGAGCTGAAGAGCGCAGGGACAGCGCCCAGGCCCAGAGTTCAAGCTCCACGACCCACAAAAAAAAAAACCTAACAGTAAGTGCTAGCCTTGAGCAAAAAAGCAGGCTCAGGGACAGTGCCCAGGCTCTGAGTTCAAGCCCCAGGACTGAAAAACAAAAGAAAAAGAAAAGAATGTGAAATAGCTTGGGTTCAAAACCTTAGGACCCAAAATAAAAACTAGGCTAGTCATTCATTCCACAAATATATACCAAACAATGATATGGTAGAATTCTTTTTTTTTTTTCAGATCCAACAAATGTTTACTGAGTCCCTACAAGCATGGTAGAATTCTTTCTTTTTTGTTGTTTCATTTTCTTGTGCTAGGAATTGAGCCCAGCATCTAGTGCTGGGCTGATGGGAGGTGAGGACAAGTGGGTTCTCCTGAGCTTGTTTATTTATTTAATCCTTGTGGTAATCTTTGTGGTAATGGGACCCATAGCATTGTCATGCTAGACAAACGCTCACCACTGAGTCATACCCCCAGCCCCTAGGTCTCTCATAAGGGTGCTCCTTCTATTCCTGAGTACTCCATCTTTCTGACCTGATCACCTCCCAAGGGTTAACTGGTCACACCAGGGGCTTGATGGCAAGGATTTCAGACAGGGATTTGGGAGAGACACATCATTTGCTTTCTTCTGGGCCCTCTTTCTCACTTATAAAAGATAAGCCAGGATTAAATGAGATCATGTAGACAGACTACTGTTTCCTAGTAGTTGGACTAGATCTATATTTGCCTTAGGCTGGTCACCTGCTTCAACAGGCACTGCTGTCCTATGTGAAAGGTGAGGAAACGCAGCCCCTCCGTGAAAAAGATCCTCCATGAAAAAGGCCCAAATGAAAAAGATCAGCTGGAGGGGCTGGGAAGGTGGCTCAGTGGCAGAGCGCTTGCCTTGCATGCCTGAGGCCCTGGGTTCGATTCCTCAGCACCACATAAGAAAAAAGCCGGCTGGGCTGGGAAGATGGCTCAGTGGTAGAGCGCTTGCCTTGCATGCCTGAGGCCCTGGGTTCGATTCCTCAGCACCACATAAGAAAAAAGCCGGAAGTGGCACTGTGGCTCAAGTGGTAGAGCGTTAGCCTTGAGCTGAAGAGCTGAGGGACAGTGCTCAGGCCCAGAGTTCAGGCCCCACGACTGGACCCAAAAAAAAAAAAAAGAAAAAAGAAAAAAGCCGGAAGTGGCGCTGTGGCTCAAGTGGTAGAGCGCTAGCCTTGAGCTGAAGAGCTGAGGGACAGCACACGGGCCGAGTTCAGGCCCCACGACTGGACCCAAAAAAAAAACCAAAACGGAAAAGATCAGCTGGATACCAGCTGCTCACGCCTGTAATCCTAGCTACTCAAAAGGCTGAGATCTGAGAATCACGGTTCAAAGCCAGCCTGGGAAGGAAAGTCCATGAGACTTTTTTTTGGGTCCGTTGGTGGGGCCTGAACTCTTGGCCTGGGCGCTGTCCCCCAGCTCTTCAGCTCAAGGCTAGCGCTCTCGCTCTACCACTTGAGTCACAGCACCACTTCTGGCTTTTTTCTTTTTGCTTATGTGGTGCTGAGGAATGGAACCCAGGGCCTCATGCATGCAAGGCAAGCGCTCTACCACTGAGCCACCTTCCCAGTCCCCCATGGGACTTTTATCTCCCATTAACCACCTGACAACCAGAAGTGGTGCAGTGGCTCAAGTGGTAGAGTGATATAGCCTTGAGCTGAAGAGCTCAGGGACAACACCCAAGTGCAGAGTTCAAGCCCCAGGATAAAAAACAACAACAAAAAAAACAACCATAAATTTCAAAGAGTAAGCTGATGTGTTAAATTGGCAGGCCAAAGTCCACAGATGCTCATCTAGATATTGATCTAGAAAGTTTGAGTTTCTAGAAGAGATTAACATTTTCTCAGGTAGGAAGTATAGAGTTCAAAATCAGGGTTTAATGCTTGCTAGGCATGTACTCTATGACTTGAGCCACATTCCCAGCTTTTATGCTGTAGGGGTGTGTGTGTGTGTATGTGTATGCTGGTCTTGAGGCTTGAACCCAGGGGCCAGGTACTCTACCATTTATGCCACAGCTCCATGTCCAGTTACTTTGTAAAAATCGGTATTATTGAGGTGATGTTACAGTTTCATAAGTCAGGTAATGAGTATATTTCTTTTGGGGCAATGATACCCCTTCCTTTGTTCTCGCCCAGTTTCCCTCTTCTGTTCCAGCCCACAAGTTGTATAGTTGTTTTTTTTTTTTTTTTTTTTTGGGGGGGGGGTTGGTCGTGGGGCTTCTCTGGGCCTGGGCATTATCCCTGAGCTCTTCAGCTCAAGGCTAGCACTCTACCACTAGAGCTACAGTGACACTTCCAGTTTTCTGGTAGTTAATTGGCTGGCTTTGAACCGTGATCCTCAGATCTCAGCCTCCTGAGTAGCTAGGAATACAGATGTGAGCTACTGGCACCCGGCTTGTATAGTTCATTTTTAACATAACACTTCCAGGTTTTGGGTGGTTTAATGAAGATAAGAATCTCAGAGCAGGGTGCTGGTGGCTCATGCCTGTAGTCCTAGCTATTCAGGAGGCTGAGAGCTGAAGATCACAGTTTAAAGCCAGCCTGGACAGGAAAGACCATGAGACTCTTATCTCCAATAAACCACTAGAAAACCAGAAATGGCGCTGTGGCTCAAGCGGTAGAGCACTCACCTTGAGCTGAAGAGCACAAGGACAGCGCCCAAGCCCAGAGTTCAGGCCCCACTACCGACCAAAAAACAAAAAAAAATAGGGAAAAAAATTCACATTCACACACACACACTCTCTCTCTCTCTCTCTCTCTCTCTCTCTCTCCAGTGCCTCTTTCTCTGGGGGAGAAGGAAGAAGGAAGAAAGGGAAGACAGAAGACCCATTTTCCCTATCTAACTCAAGGGGGAAATAAATTAATACAAGTTTAAAGATAAAGAGAAAAAAAAGTATAAATGGACAAAGGTGTCTAAAGACTACAGAAATAAAACTGGCAAAAAAAATGCTTAAGTAAAAAAAAAACAAACCCAAAACGCTTTTTGTGCCTTATATATTTATGAAGCAGTCACGTTCTCTACACTTCTGGCCGAGACAAGGCAACCACAAACAGCTGTAGGCGGTGACTGTCTCTAACCAGGCTGGAGGACAGTCCCAAAATGACACTGCTGACTTACGAATTACAGGGCAGGCGTATTCAATTCTGATTCTTTAACTCTTTTTCCCCAAGACCAGGGCTTGAACTCAGTGCTTTGAGCACTTGCTTGGATTTTTTGCATACAGCTAGTGCTCTATCACTTGAACCTTGCTCCAGTTCAACATTTTGCTATTTCAGAAACAGTGTAGTGAACTTTTCTCCCCAGTTGGCCTTGAACATCTTTAGATCCTTCAGATATCAGCCTACTAAGTATCTAGTATGAACCACAAGCACCCAACAGGAATATTAAATTCTAATCCATACTACCAAGACATAGCATCATATTCTTCCAACACTACAGTGCCCAATTCCTTCCTCATCCCCAACTAGTCTCAGCCCCACAAGTAAGTTTACAGGCATGAGCCACTGCGGCTCAGCCTGGGCTTATAAACACTTGTGTGTGTGCGTGTTGGTCCTGGGGCTTGAACTCAGGGCCTGGGTACTGTCCCTGAGCTTCTTTTTGCTCAAAGCTAGTGCTCTATTTGACCCACAGTGCCACTTCCAGCTTTTTCTAAGTAGTTTGTTGGAGGTAAGTCTCATGGACTTTTCTGCCTAGGCTGGCTTTGAACCACGATCCTCAGATCTCAGCCTCCTGAGTAGCTAGGGTTACAGGCTTGAGCCACCAGTGCTCAGCCTGGATATTAACTTTGAATTAATTCACCCATTCTAGAAAGACAAGTAAAGGCCTCTTACTTTTCATGTGTTTGTCTATGTGCTTTTCTTTAGGTACTGGAGTTTATGCTTGTGCTCGCTAGACAAGCATTCCTACCACTGAGCCACACACCCAGTTGTTTGATTTTTTTTTTTCTTTTGTTCCCCAGTAATGAGGCTTGTAATCAGAGCCTTATGGTCTCACTCAGCTTTTTTGCTCACTGCAGGCTCTCTACCACTTGAACCATACCTCTAGTCCACGTTTTTTGCTGGACTGCCCAGACTGGCTTTGAACCACAATCCTCTAAATCTCAGCATCCCGAGAAGCTGGATTACAGGCATGTACAACCATGCCTGGCTCAGCCTCACAGTTTTGTGCCTTACACAGAATAGCTTCTCTTACTGTCACTTTGTATACAGTCATCAGTTGTGGCTTACAAGCACTGAGCCTTTCCCTTCATATGCCCACTGCTGTACCAGCTGCTTGGCTTTTCACTCATTTATTCTTTCTTCTCATTTTCTCACAGTTGGCGCTATACTACTTGAGCCACATGCCTGGCTTTCAGTGGCCTGAATAGCTCTCTAGTCTCAAGGTGGAGCCTGAGCTCTTAGAGTCATCCCCAGGATGGTCAGAACTGGAGAGTTGCTGGGTATCAAACCTTGGCCTTAAGTTCTTCTCTAGCTGTTCTGCCACCCGAGGAGCTGCAGCTCTGATGGCATCTTGGATGCTCTCTAAGTTCCACTGGGTCCTCAGGAGAGCATCGTCCAGGGTGAAGAAGCCATCCCGCGTGCGCCGCACTTGCATGCACACAGCCGTGGTCTTCAGCTCAAGGCCAATTTCGTGCACTAGCTTTCGCAGCTGCTGCTGTGTCTCATGCATACACTGCACCTCTGGCAGGGACACACAATGATGGACATGAATCAGAAATAGTATCTGGAGACCAGCTGAGCTGGACACACACTCCCAGAGGCCTAACGACCTTGGTGAGATACCTGAGCTTTTCAAGTTTTGCTGTGGAAGGTGCACCTTGAGGGTCTACCCTGTGGGACACAAGTTTGTGTCAGACATGCAGAGCCTGGCCTGGCTCCCACTTCCTGAGTCAGGAGTTGCCTTTTAAGAAAAGCCCCAGATGATCTATGGGTGGGTTTGAGTTTGAGATACCCTGAGCTTAGACTTGGTGTGCTCAAATATAAAATGAATAGTGAGCCAGATGCCGGTGGCTCACACATATAATCCTAGCTACTCAGAAGGCTGAGATACGAGGATTGCAGTTCAAAGCCAGCCCAGGCAGAAAGTCCACTGAGACTCTTATCTCCAATAAACCACCAGAAAAAACAGAAGTGGCGCTGTGGCTCATGTGGTAGAGCACTCACCTTGAGCTGAAGAGCTGAGGGACAGCGCCCAGGCCGAGTCCAGAGTACAAGCCCCATAACTGACAAAAAGTGAAAGCTTAGCCGGGCGCCAGTGACTCATGCCTGTAATCCTAGCTACTACAGAAGGCTGAGATCTGAGGATCAAAGCCAGCCCAGGCAGGCAAGTCCGTGAGACTCTTATCTCCAATAAACCACTGGAAAACCGGAAGTGGTGCTAGGGCACTAGAGCGCAGGCCTTGAGCTGAAGAGCGCAGGGACAGAGCCCAAGCCCAGAGTTCAAGCCCCACGACAGACCAAAAAAAAAAAAAGTGAAAGCCTAATCTAGGTATGGTGCCTAGCACCAGGAATCTTGGTTAGCTCTCAAGAAAAGGAGTGCAGCCAGGTGCTGATGGCTCATGCTTACCCCCTCGGGAGGCTAAGATCTGAGGCTCATGGTTCAAAGCTAGCCCAGGCAGGAAAGTCTGTGAGACTCTAGCTTCAATTAATCACAGAAAAAGCAGGACGTGGCACTGTGCCTCAAGTGGTAGTGCTAGCCTTGAGAAAAAGGAGCTCTGGGACAGTGCCCAGGCAAACCTCAGGATTAGCAAAAACAGCAAAGAAAGAGAAAAGAGAAAAGAAAGAAAAGAAAAGAAAAGGAAAGAAAAAGAAAGGAAAGGAAAGGAAAGGAATCCAGCCAGGTACCAGTGGTTCACGCCTGTAATCCTAACTACTCAGGATCAGGTTCAAAGCTAGTCCAGGCATGAAAGACCATGAGAATCTTATCTCTAATTTACCACCAAAATTAGCTTTGAATAGTAAATAGACAAATAACTAAAATAAAAAAACTAAGGGATAGCACTCAGACCCTAAATCAAGCCCTAGGACCAGCACAAATTAATTTTAAAAATGAGAAGTGGCGCTGTGGCTCAAGTGGTAGAGCGCTAGTCTTGAGCTGAAGAGCTGAGGGACAGCGCCCAGGCCCAGAGTACAAGCCCCACGACTGACACCCCCCCCCCCAAAAAAAAATCAAGTAGTTTTAAAAATGAGTGACTTAGGAGCTAGAATGTGGCTTAGTGATAAGAGTGCTTGCCTAGCATGCATGAAGCCCTGGGTTCGATTCCTCAGCACCACCTAAACAGAAAAAGCTGGAAGTAGCACTGTGACTCAAGTGGTAGAATGCTAGCCTTGAGCACAGAGAGGCTCAGGGGCAGTGCCCAGGCCCTGGGTTCAAGCCCCTGGACTCACCAAAAAAAAAAAAAAAAAAAAAGTGATTGATTTGACATGAGAACATTTGTTCTGTGAGCTCTGAATCTGGCCAAGCCTTGGTCAGGAGGAACTTGACATCTAAAGCCTTGGCCAGCAGACATCAGGGTTGGTGTGTGCTGTCCTGAGCTGGGTCAGAGGACAGTGCGCTCCGACAGAGCACTCCAGTGGCTCTCCACCTTACCTAAGAGGAACTCTGGAGGTGAAAAGTTCAGGCACCGGATGCCAGTAATGAGCATCGGAGACTTGCTCATGGGCCGAATCATGCCTCTCACAGCCATCTCATAGGCTTCCTGAGACTGCAGGTCTAAATTGGAGTACCTGGAGAACAGGAGGGGCAAGATGGGCAGACAGTGTGGAGTCCCCAACCCACGGTGCACAGCGCCTACCTTCAGTCATTCTGAACTCCCTGCCATCCCCTGCTCCTCCAGCTACATTCAGAGAATCCTACTTTCTTGGTCTTCAGCTGCTAAAGGCAGCCCCTGCCCACCCTCCTTGGCCTCCCTGTCACCCAGTTGATGGCTCCTGTGCCCCTAGCTGTCCTCTGTACTCCAGTGCTTCAGCTTAAGACACCCAGCGGGCATCTTAATCTCAGCCCAACCCAAGTGACTTCAACATAAGGCCCTGCTAGGTGTCCTAACACGCCTAAGAGTCCCGGGTAACTTCCCAGCCTCTTCTCTCCCTGTGCCCTACCTGTTCTGTTCTTTTGCAGCTGCTCACTGGGTATAGTGATACTATAGGGTACAGCCTGCTCCCCACCTCCAATTTCACTACCCTGGGTCCCTAAGATCTCTGTCAGATCACAAGCTTCCTAGGAGGGGAGTGGGCTTTCTGCTTCTCCTGGCTCTCCAGTGGCCAGCCCAAGACAAGGTTCACACAAACACTTCTGCATGTCCTGAAGGAATGGACACATGCACCTGTCTGGGCGTCTAAAGACATGATCCTTGGAATCTCACCCCCGTGGACAGAGCCCATGCAGCTCCTCGGCACTTCCAGCAGCCCCAGCACCTCTCCCAGAACCCCCCACTCACATCACCAGGGCCTTCTGATGGGAGCCTTGGATCACAGCCAGGATCCGGTCCAGCTTCTCTCTAGTCACATGGTCTAGAAGAGGTGGCAGGAGGGAGTTGTCAGTGTATAGGTACCCAAAGCTGGGCCACAGCAACCTGGCAAGCTACTGTCCCCCAAGTCAGCCTCCACCTTGGAAATGGGGATTCCATGTGGGGTGGAGTGTTAAAAACTGCACCAGTGCAGTGTGGCCTGGGAAAGATGAGGCGTCAAGGAGAAGCAGACACAGAGGAAGGCAGAGGCAGCCATCCCTCTCACTTGCCCCCAGCTCTCACCATATGTTGTCTTCTCCACCAGACGCCCATCCTCGCAGAAATCATCTGTGGCCTTGCCCAGAAGCCCTCGAACTGTGTAATCCTGAAAGGACAAGGAGAGGAGGATCCAGTCACTGTCCCAACTCTAAGCTCCAGATGAGGTTGAGGCCTCTGGTTTCCTCTCAGATGACATGCTTCCTGGTCGTATTGTTACAATCTCCCTAGCACATGACTATTAAAAAAAAAAAAAGGTAAGCCAGAAGTTGGTGCCTCATGCCTACGTTCCTAGCTGCTTAGAAGACTAAGATCTGGAATTGTATCAGGAAGAGTGGAGGAGGGTAAGGGAGAGTGATAGGAGGGGAACTGATTAGAATACACTGAACACGTGCCTGGAAATGTCACACTAAATCCCCCTTCTAGAGATAATGTATGCTAATAAAAAATAAAAATGAGCTTGTTTAAAAAAAAAAAACAAGGGAGGGGAGGGGGGAGAGGTGGAGACGGGAAGGGGAAACAAAGGAGGAGGCAACAATGCTTGATAAGAAATGTACTCATTACCTTGCCCATGTAATTGTAACCCCTCTGTACGGTATTTTCACAATAAAAATAAAAGTAAAAAAAAAAAAAAAAAACAAGAAGCAGGGTGCTGATGGCCCATACCTGTAATCCTAGCTACTCAGGACACTGAGTTCTGAAGATCACGGTTCAAAGCCAGCCCAGGCAGGGAAGTCGGTGAGACACTTATCCCCAGTTAACCAGAAAATTGACACTGTGGCTCAAGTGATACTGTTCACCTTGAGCTGACAGCACCCAGGCCTAGAGTTCAAGCCCCAGGACCGACTAAACAAAGACAAACTGGGTGGTAGTAGCTTACACTTATATAGGCTACTCAGGAGGCTGAACTCTGAGGATCATGGTTTAAACCCAGCCAGGGAGGAAAGTCCATGAGACTCTTATCTCCAATTAACCACCAGAAAATTGGAAGTGTTGCCATGGCTCAAAATGGTAGAGCACTAGCCTTGAGCAAAAGAACTCAGAGAAAGTGCCCAGGCCCTGAGTTCAAGCCCCATGAGTGACAAATTTCTTTGGGGGGAAAAAAAAAACTTTCTGATGATCTGGACATCTTACAGATTCCCCAGCATAGAAATTCTGCTAGTGACGAAGCCAGGCGCCGGTGGCTTACGCCTGTAATCCTAGCTACTCAGGAGGCTGAGATTTGAGAATTGCAGTTCAAAGCCAGCCCAGGTAGGAAAGTCCATGAGACTCTTATCTCCAATAAACCAATAGAAAACCAGAAGTGGCACTGTGGCTCAAGCGGTAGAGTGCTTGCCTTGAGCTGAAGAGGGCAGGGACAGCGCTGAAGCCCAGAGTTCAAGCCCCACAACCAACCCCCCTCCCCCCCCCAAAAAAAGAAATTCCACTAGTGGCCGGGCACCAGTGGCTCACATCTGTCATCCTAGCTACTCAGGAGGCTGAGATCTCAGGATCGTGGTTCAAAGCCAGACTGGACAAGAATGTCTGTGACTTTTATCTCCAATTAACCACCAGAACAACCAGAAGTGGCACTGTGGCTCAAGTGGTAGAGCACTCACCTTGAGCAAAAGAGCTTAAGGCCAGAGCCCAGACCCAGAGTTCAAGCCCCATGACTGACAAAAAAAAAAAAAAAAAAAATTCTGCTAGTGAACTCCAGGGAAATATCCCACATTAGGCGGGCCATCCCTGGAGCCCCATACCTTGGTGAGGTGAGCATCATACATGTCCATGAGAAGTCTGCGTCCATGTCCCACGCCGAGCACTGAAAGGCAGACAGCCAGCCATCATACACCTGGCATTCTCTTTCCATTCCCCTAGGGCACCCCTACCGCACCATCTGAATACTCCCTCCTTGGATGCTGTTGCAGCTAGCAAAAGGACATGAATTTCTGCAGGGAGCAGTGGGCAACTCTGGGAACAGGACAAAATGCAGATTTCTAGGCTTCCACTACATGTTCTGAATGACTCCTGTAAAGAAGGAAGCTAGGGTCCTTAAGCTTCTTAGAGGATTCAGATACACTCAAAAATAGGAGACAGCTGGGCATAGTGGCACATGTCAGCTACTCAGCAGCAATTGTGGCAAAAAGATAACAAGTTTGAGGCCAGCCTGAGCTATACAGCAAGACTCTGTCTCAAAAAATAAGCCTGGGATGTCTGTGAGGGTAATTTTTATCCTTTTGGGGCTTCAAACAATGTGCAGAAGTGGGAGAAAGTAGTGTCTGGTGCCTGCCAGTGTTATGCAGATAGAAGGAGGCAAAGCACAGGAAACCATACTAAGAGAGGACCCAACAAAGTGATAGCCATTGTATGGCCACTTCCTGCCTCTCCTGACCTATTTGTCCCTCTGGCTAAAGGAAAGAATAATTCTCCATTCACTCTTGGAGAGCAGAAACAGAGAGAGGACATGAGATCATGTCTGCCTGCCTGTACCCCAGAAAACAAGACAAGGAGATCAAGACTGCTGAGGCCGACGGATGTGGCTACCACCTGACCCTGGGGATACAAATGGCTTATGACTCAGGGCATTGTGTGGACAGCTCTGGCAATATCCAGATCCTTGCCAGAGAAGACAGTCACATGCCTGGCTGCCACATGATGTGATAATGTGTCCCTCACAGAACCAGGGCACTCTCTGGTCCTCAAAAGTCAAGGCACCCACGTTCTTTTTTTTTTTTTTTTTTTTTTGGTCATTCGTGGGGCCTGAACTCTGGGCTTGAGCGCTGTCCCTGTGCTCTTCAGCTCAAGGCAAGTGATCTACCGCTTGAGCCACAGCACTACTTCCAGTTTTCTAGTGGTTTATTGGAGATAAGAGTCTCATGGACTTTTCTGCCTGGGCTGGCTTTGAACTGTGATCCTCAGATCCTCAGATGTCCTGAGTAGCTAGGATTACAAGGGTGAGCCACTGGCGCCTGGTACACCCAAGCTCTTGAGACTCGATTTTCTTCGTTCATATCATGCCTGTAATCCTATCGACTCAGGAGGTTGAGATCTGAGGAAACCAGCCCAAGCAGGAAAGTCCTTAAGACTCTTATTTTTATTTTTTATTCTTTGCTGGTAGCAGGGCTTGAACTCTGGGCCTGAGTGCTGTCCCTGAGCTCTTCAGCTCAAGGCTAGCACTCTACCACTTAAGCCACAGCACTACTTCTAGCTTTTTTGTTTATGTGTTTACTGAGGAATTGAACCCAGGGCTTCATGGGTGCTAGACAAGCACTCTACTGCTGAGCCACATTCCCAGCCCAAAGTCCTTGAGACTCTTAAATCCAATAAACAACTTAGAAAAATTCAGCAGTGACAATGTAGTATGCTCAAGTAGTAGAGAGCTAACCTTGAGCAAAAAGAAGCTCTGGGACAGCACCTAGGCCCTGAGTTCAAGCCCCAGGACAGGAGAGAAAAAAATAAAATCACATAGTATCTACCTAGTAAAGCAATTGAGGCTGGTCTTGGCAAAAGTTCTCATGGTCTCTCCTGCCTGGGCTGGTTTTGAACCGCGATCCTCAGATCTCAGCCTCCTGAGTAGCTAGGATTACAGGCGTGAGCCACCAGCGCCCGGCGCAAAAGTTCTCAAGAAGTTATTTTAATAACAAAATTTAAAAGAAGGAAGAAAGGAAGGAGGAAGGAAGGAAAAGAAAAAAGAAATAAAAGAATGTCAGATGCTGGTGGCTCACATCTGTAACCCCAGCTGCTCAGGAGGCTCAGATTTGAGGACTGCAGATCAAAGCCAAGCTGAGCAGTGAAGTTCAGGAGATTCTTAATTCCAAATAACTTCCAAAAAGTCAGAAGTGAAGATGTAACTCAATTGGTAAAGCCCCAGCCTGGAGTAATAAAAGCTGAGGGAGAGTATGAGGCCCTGAGTTCAAGGCCCAGGACCTATATGAAGAAAAGAAAAGGGGGGTGGAGGAATGGGTCAAGCGGTAGGCTCTGGATTCTATCCCCACTATTGCCAGAAAAGAAAAAATTGTTGTAGTAACTGAATGTGTACAATGGGCCCCAAACCACACATACCTCTCACAACCTGTGAATTCCTTTCTCCTGCTAGTCATCTCCCCCACTGATCAGAGACTTAGGGCAGTAATCAGGGGAGAATGGCAGTGGTAAAAGGTGGCTGTCAGGGGGCTGGGAAGGTGGCTCAGTGGTAGAGTGTTTGCCTAGCATGCATGAAGCCCTGAGTTCGATTCCTCAGTGCCACATACACAGAGAAAGCCGGAAGTAGTGTTGTGGCTCAAATGGTAGAGCGCCAGCCTTGAGCAGAAGATCAGGACAGTGAACTTTACAACTTGGGGGGGTAGGGGAGTAGGGGGAGAAATAGGAGAATATGAGGGAAAAGAAACGTACTCATGACCTGACTGATGTAACTGTAGCCCCTCTGAACCCCACCTCTACAATAAAATTAAAATAAAAAAATAAGATAAAACTACCACCTAACAGGTGCACCCTTTATTAAAAAAAAAAAAAAAGGCCGGGCGCTGGTGGCTCACGCCTGTAATCCTGGCTACTCAGGAGGCTGAGATCTGAAGAACACGGTTCAAAGCCAGCCCGGGCAGGAAAGACCGTGAGACTCCTATCTCCAATAAACCACCACAAAACCGGAAGTGGCGCTGTAGCTCAAGTGGTAGAGCGCTCGCCTTGAGCTGAAGAGCTGAGGGACAGCGCCCAGGCCCAGAGTTCAAGCCCCACGACGGACCAAAAAAAAAAAAAAAAGTGACTGTCAGGGGAGAAGTGGATTGGACTTCTGGGAGCTCCCTGATCTTCTTCCTCCTTCTCTCCACACCCTTATTAATGTATTCCCTGGCTAGCCACATCACCTACCAAGCACTCCAGAAGACCGGGTATCTAGCCGGTGTCCCACGCCAATCTTCAGTCTGAGGAATTCTGGTCCACATACTGGAAATGAATAGCAAGGTCCATTTCTTCAACTAATTGAGCCTGAAATGGCTTTAGACTGTGTGGTGACCTCATTCTTAGATTGGAATTCATTGTAGCCCCATCTAGGCTCAGGCTAGACTTTATGGCTTCCCCATCTTGAAATCTAGGGCCCAGAGGAAGGGCAATCCAAGAGGCCTGTCACTTTGCTTATCACCATTCTCCTCATGAGGGGATTCAGGAGGTCTGGGTCTAACACTAGAGATCAAGATTGTGGGGGTCCTTGCCTAATTCCAGCTAGTGCAGTTCCTGGCCATTCTCCTAATAAGAAAATGGGGACTGGAAGCCCCCTAAGGCTGTCTGTTAACAGTTCTACCCACTGGGCTCAGACACATTAGTTGCTAAGAAAATAAGTTAAGTTTGGGGATTGGTACATGCTTGTAATCCCAGCACTAAGGAGGCAGAGGCAGGATTGGAGGCTCAAGGCCAGATTAAATGAGAGTAAAATCCTGTCTAAAACAAAAACAAAGAAACAAAAGCCAGGTACTAGAGGTTCAAAAGAGGATCATGGTTAGAGGCCAGGCAAAAAGTTCGTGAGACCCCATCTTAACCAGTACCTGGGTGAGGTGGTATGTACTTGTCATTCCAGCAGTAGGCTGAAGGCTGAGGATCATGGTTCTAGGCCAGTTCTTCTTTTTGTTTTTGGCCAGTCCTGGAGCTTGCACTCTAGGCATGGGTGCTATTCCTGAGATTCTTCTGTTCAAGGCTAGCACTCTAGCAGTTGAACCACAGCGCCACTTCTGGCTTTTTCTGTGTATGTGGTACTGAGGAATTGAACTCAGGGCTTCATGCATACTAGGCAAGTACTTTACCACTAAGCCACATTCCCAGCCCATCTAGGGCAGTTCTTAATATACCATCTCTACAGAAAAAACTAAGGATGGTAGTACATGCCTGTCATCCCAGCTGTGGTGGAAAACATAAATAGGACTGTAATCTGGACTAGCATGGAGAAAAAGCAAAACCCTATCTCAGAAGCAAAACAAAACAACATTAGGCTTTTGCACACATCTATATCCTATGTACTTAAGAGACTGGCTGAGATCCAAACAAAAGGATCATAGCTGGCAAGCAACTCCATGAAACTCCATCCTCTGAAATAACCAGCAATTACGATCTGAAAATCTCAATTCCTATCTGACATGCTATAATAGAAACAGTCAACAACTACAGTCAACATGCCAAATCTTCAAATCTATGTTTCATTTTACTTTAAGAGACCAGTCTCACTATGATACCCAGATTGGCCCAGCCTGAGCTCAAGATATCCTTCTGCCTTAGCATCTCTAGTAGCTGGGACTACAGATGCACACCCTGCTGTCTACATGTGCTTTGCACTAGAATTGTAAATGTTTTATTGGAAAACAGGCTCATTCCCTTCCATACTGTCTTTAGGTGTTTTTCACAATGGCAAAGCTAGTCAGATGCAGCCCACATTGCCAGCAAAGCCTAAAGTATGTAGAGTCTGCCCTTTCTTGGGAAAGTTTGCCAGTCCTCATTCTAATATTTCATTTTATCATGGTCCTCCAAAAAGTTGGAGACAAAAATCTGAAGCACTGGACCTTGACTCTAGCCAGGGGTTTTCCTGCTTGAATCGGCCTTACCCAGCCTATGGTTGGTGAGGGTGGGCACGCTGGTGGCTTTGAGAGTCAGCTGTTTCTCTTCACCGTCTTCCACAGGGCTCAGCAAAAAGCGAACACGCTGTTCAGGAGCAGGAGGTTTCCCAGCATTGAGACCTAAACACACACGGGTATGAAAATACTGGATCACCTGGGAAGTGTGATGGCGTGGAAAGATGGAAGCACACGGTGTGGAACCAGCGTAGCAGTACTTATGGAAAACTTACGTTCAAATCCTGACTCAACTGTATTAACCATATGACTACTGAGGAAAGGTAGAAGTAGACCATTAGAAAAAGCAGAAGTAACAGATCATGAGGAAAAGCACTCTGCCCAGCGAAGAGGCCACGTGACTTTATTTTCAGGAAGGATCAGAAGCAGAGATGGGCTTCCAAAAGAACCAGAATTCCCAGCACTCACCCTTCAGAAGCTGCATTTCTACAGTATCCCTCAGGTGCAGCCATTTTAGTCCCGGGGGCTTGTATACCGCGAAAAGCCCGTGGAGGCGCGCCAGGCTCGCGGACCCCATAACCCAAGCCTCAGCTCCGCCGAGCCAGAAAGCGGACTCCAGGCGGAAGTGACCTGCGGTCCCGCCGCAAATGCGGTCCTTACAATAGGCGCCGCCAAGTTCCGCAGCCGGAAGCGGTTCGCATCTTATTGTCCTCGTGTGGAAAACGCGAGGGGGGGAGAAAATAGGGCCCCCCCGAAGAACCGCCAAGCTGGAGAGGTTACGTCCCCTTTGGAAACCCACTCAGCCTTGTCTGGAACGGGGAATGTTAATACGTTAAGTAGGTGGCAGACAGGCCACATGGGCCACACGACTATTTCCTGCCGTTACTCCGACGTTTCCCCGCAGCGTAATTGAAGGTGGCGTCTTTTGACGCCTCTGGCCCTGCGTCCGCGGAGGACTTTGGGACGTGCGACGTGACCCGCCCATCCGCCAAGCGGACGTCGGCTGCCATGGCGACGCTGCTGCGCAGGGCGCTGTGCCCTCTTGGACGGCTCCGGAGTCGTCCCGGACCAGCTACAGGTATTGGCCTGGTCCCGGGCAGGGGCGGAAGGAATCTGCGAGTAACTCAGCTAACCTCGGCCTTGTTTCTGCTCTTTAGATGCGCCCCTCCGGGCCGTCAGCCATGGCGCCGGCCTGCTGTACCCAGACCACATCCCCACCTCCCGGTTGCAGAAGGCGCTGCTGGCTGCGGGCTCGGCGGGAATGGCGCTCTACGACCCTTACCGCCACGGTGAGAGCAACGCTCTGCCTTTCCAGCAGGGCGGCAAGAGGTCGGGGCACCCAAGCCTAGCAACACTAGTCACCAGGAATGTTCTATTAAAAGTGCAAGTTGAGGGCTGGGAAGGTAGCTCAGTGGTAGAGCTCTTTCCTCGCATGCATGAGGCCCTGGGTTCGATTCCTCAACACCACATAAGCAAAAAGAAAAAAGCCGGAAATGGCGCTGTGGCTCAAGTGGTAGAGCGCTAGCCTTGAGCTGAAGAGCTGAGGGAGAGCTCCCAGGCCCAGAGTTCAGGCCCCACGACCGGACCCCCACAAAAAAAAATTTTTTTAAGTGCAAGTTGATGGGCGTCTGTGGCTCAGGTCTGTAATCATAGCTACTCAGGAGGCTGACATCTGAGGGACATAGTTCGAAGCCAGCCTAGCTAAGAAAGTCCGTGAGACTCTTATCTCTTCTTAACTACCAATAAAACAAAACGGCTGGGAAGGTGGCTCAGTGGTAGAGTGCTTGCCTTGCATGCTTAAGGCCCTGAGTTTGATTCTTCAGCACCACATAAACAGAAAAGCCAGAAGTGGTGCTGTGGCTCAAGTGGAGAGCTGAGGGACAGTGCCCAGGCCCAGAGTTCAAGCAACATAACCGACAAAAAAAACAAGGGGCTGAGAAGGTGGCTCAGTGGTAAAGTGCTTGCCTGCATGCCTGAGGCCCTGGGTTCCATTCCTCAGCACCACATAAGCAAAAAGAAAAAAGCCGCAAGTGGCGCTGTGGCTCAAGTGGTAGAGCGCTAGCCTTGAGCTGAAGAGCTGAAGGACAGCGCCCAGGCCCAGAGTTCAGGCCCCACGACTGCACCCCAAAAAAAAAAAAAAAACACGAAGTAGAGCCATGGCTCGAGTGGTTGAGTGCCAATCTTGAGGGGGGAAAAAAAGGCAAAGGGACAGCACTCATACCCTGAGTTCAAGGCCCAATACTGGCACACACCAAAAAGGAAAGGAAGAAGGAAAGGAAAAAGAAAATAAGCAGTTTGATCTGGACGCCAATGGCTCACACCTGAAATCTTCCTAGCTACTCAGGAGGTTGAAATCCGAGCATGACAGTTCGAAGCCAGCTGGGGCAGGAAAGTCTGTGAGACTCTTATCTTCAGTTAACCACCCAAAAACCACGAGTGCCACTGTGGCTTAAGTGGTAGAGTGCTACCCTTAAGCACAAAGAGGTTCAGGGACAGAGTCCAGGCCCTGTTCAAGCCCCACAACCTCCAGAAGGAAAAAAAAAAACAAAAAACTGGTGTAGGGTCATCAAATAGTAACTGTACCTGAATGCAAACCAGCACTGTGATAGAAAAGGCTATACCAATCAATGAAGTACTGATACTCTGTTGTAACAACGTTACATATGGAAGTGATTAAGGAATTCCTTAGCACCAGGAAGAATAGCTATAAATAGTTCAAATACCAGTAGCTCATACCTATAATTCTACCTACTCAGGAGGCAGAAATGCAGAGGATCATGATTCAAGGCTAGACCTGGGGAAAAAAAATTGGGAGATCTCTCATCTCAACTAGTTGCTAGGCATGGTGGCAGACACCTGGCATCCTAGCTATGTGGGAGGCTGAAATGGGGAGGATCCTGGTTTCTGGCCAGCCCAGGGTAGGGGAGAAGGGTTATAAGACCCTATCACAACAGAAAAGGCTAGACATGATGGCGTGCACCTGTCATCCTAGTTGCAGGCAGGAAGATAATTAGGATAATGGTCCGGGCTGGCTGGAGCAAAAAGCAAGACCCGAACTCAAACGGTATCAGTAATGCATGCCTGTAAACATAGCTACATCAACTGAGATCTGAGGCTGGTAGTACAGAGCCAGCCAAAGCAGGAAAGTTTGTGAGCCTTTTTTTTTTTTTTTAACCAATCCTGGGGCTTGAACTCAGGGCCTGGGCATTGTCCCTGAGCTTCTTTTTGCTCAAGGCTAGCGCTCTACCACTTAAGCCACAGCACCACTTCCGGCTTTTTCTGTGTATATGGTACTGAGGAATCAAAACCAGGGCTTCATGCATTCTAGTCAGGCACTCTACTCCTAAGCCACATTCCCAGCCTGTGAGACTCTTACCTACAATTAACCACCATAAAGCTGGAAATAGAGATGTGGCTCTAACAGAGTACCTGCCTAGCAAGTACAAAGCTAAACCTCAATACTGCAAAAATTAGTAAAATGGCTATAAATATATTGAGTCATTGCTGTGTTTCAAGTGATTAGCTAAGCAATTAACATGAATCTGTACAAGTAAGATTTAAATATTATCCCTGTCTTACTGTGTCTCGGAGAACTAAGACTCAGACCTGGTCAGATAACTTAGATGACCTTCCCAATCTTTGCCCATTTCTGTCGTTTCAGACATGGTTGCAGTTCTAGGGGAAACTACAGGATGCCGTACCCTGAAGGTTCTCAGGGACCAGATGAGGAGGGATCCAGAGGGTGCTCAGATCCTACAGTAGGTCCCAGGTCTTCCCAGAAGCTTGGGGCATTCTCTAGAGATCATGAACTATACAGGTGTCACATTTTGTTAGTCCTCTTCCTCTAGGGAACTTTTCTTAATACCCTGACTATGGATGCTTGCACCGGCTGGGCACTCTAGAAGCACATATGTGTGTGCCCATGATAAGGCAATATGCTGGCCTCAAGGTTCTGTGTCTTCATTAAGCTCCCATAATGTGCTAGCTGTATTCCATCCTGCAATATCTTTATGAGTACCCTGCATCCATCCTTGGTGAGTTTCCTCAGGTTTAGCCACTTTGCTGGTCTGTGCCCCTTCCTTACTCCTAAGCTTGCCTCAGTTGGAACTTTGCTGGTACCCTCCTATACCCATATTCTCCCTTCTGCCTTTCAGGGAGCGTCCCCGGATCTCACTGTCTACTCTAGACCTGGGCAGGCTCCGGAGCCTGCCTGAAGGCTCCCTCGGCCGTGAATATCTCCGGTTCTTAGATATGAATGTGAGTTTTGCTTCTGTGCTGTGGCAGTCACCAAGAATGGCAGACACATGGCATGGGAATGATACCCTGGGACAGGGGAAGCCCTGAACTGCTTCCACGATCAAGAGTGCCTTTTTTTCTTTTGGTCGGTCATGGGGCTTGAACTCTGGGCCTGGGCGCTGTCCCTCAGCTCTTCAGCTCAAGGCGAGCACTCTACCACTTGAGCTACAGCGCCACTTCCGGTTTTCTGGTGGTTTATTGGAGATAGGAGTCTCACGGTCTCTCCTGCCCGGGCTGGCTTTGAACCGCGATCCTCAGATCTCAGCTTCCTGAGTAGCTAGGATTACAGGCGTGAGCCACCAGCGCCCGGCTTCAAGAGTGCCTTCTGTCTGGTGCCCAGGTTTCATTTTTTTCTAGAGGATGGGCAGATGGGCTTGGAAGATCCTTCCAGTTCAGTCACTGGTGTTGATTAACCTTATTCTGCATGCCCACTGCCAGGCTCATCCGTTGTCTCACAGTCAAGAATGTTTTATTTGGGTTGGGAAGTGGTAGAGTTTGCTTGCCTTGCATGCATGAGGCCCTGGGTTCGATTCTTCAGCACCTCATAAGCAGAAAAAGCCAGAAGTGGGTCTGTGGCTCAAGCAGTAGAGCACCAGCCTTGAGCTGAAGAGCTGAGGGACATTGCCTAGGCCCAGAGTTCAGGCCCCATGACTGAAAAAAAAAAAAAAAAAAGTTTTATTTGCGGGGCACTGGTGGTTCACACTTGTAATCCTAGCTACTCAGGAGGCTGGGATCTGAGGATCAAGGTTCAAAGCCAACTCAAGGCTAGGTCTCTACCACTTGAGCCACAGCTCCACTTCCAGCTTTTTTGGTGCTTAATTGGTGACTTTCTTGCCAGGCTGATTTTGAACCACAATCCTTAGATCTCAACCTCCTGAGTAGCTAAGATTACAGGCATGAGCCACTGGTGCCTGGCTTGGCCCATGTTTTTTACCCTCTCCATTTCATGCTAGTCCCACAGATGCCCCTCTGCCAAGTTTCTTGGCAATCTAGACTGCTGGAGGAGCAGAATCAAAGGCTGTTATAGAACCAGGTTCTCACCCCTCTGTCATGGGTCTGCCCAGTACCTGTAGGATATTAGAAGCAGTGTCCCTGGCCTTGATATGCTGGTTCCAGTAGAATCCTCCCAAGTGGTGACAGCCATGGTCCTGAAGACAGGAATCTGTCCCTCACCCTCTCCTGACACTGGCCTTGGCAGAGCGATCCCCTGCTCTGATTTACACTTTCTTCTTCAGATTGCACCAGGATGCAAGAAGACTCATCAAACCTGCCAGGGCAGCCTATCCAAGTGCCATTCGGGGAGGGACGGCTTCTGAAGTCCCTAGAGCCTTTCTGTGGAGGAGAGGAATGGCAAAGGTCTAGCCAGGGCCAGCCTCCTCACCTTGCTCCACAACTGCCCTTGTATGGTAATAGCTTGGAGAGGTAACACTTCTGGGGCAAGGAAATCTGAATGGGAAGGGATGCCCTTATCCTAACCCACATTTAGAACTAGGCTGGGGGTCAGGCTGCTGACCTGAGGCTGATGTCACTGTGAAGTGTGGTCATTCTGTGAAATCCAGAAGGCAGGAATGGACTCTGGAGCTCAGGAGAGCTGGAGATAAGCCCGGTGCCGGTGGCTCACGCCTGTAATCCTAGCTGCTCAGAAGGCTAAGATCTGAAGATTGCAGTTCAAAGCCAGCCCAGGCAGGAATGTCCATGAGACTCTTTTTTTTTTGTCAGTCATGTGGCTTGAACTCTGGGCCTGGGTACTGTCCCTCAGCTCTTCAGCTTAAGGCTAGCACTCTACCACCTGAGCCACAGCGCCACTTCCCGTTTTCCGAGTGGTTTATTGAAGATAAGAGTCTCCTGTCTCAGCTGGCTTTGAACTGCAGTCTTCAGACCTCAGCCTCCTGATTAGCTCGGATTACAGGTGTGAGCCACCAGCTCCCAGCTATGAGAGTCTTACCTTCAATTAACCACCAGAAAACTGGAAATGGCACTGTGGTTGAGTGGTTGAGTGTTTGCCTTGAGCTGAAGAGTTCAGGGACAGTGCCTAGGCCCAGAGTTCAAGCCCCACAACCAAAATTAAAAAAAAAGGGTGTTGGGGGTTTAGCCCAGTGGAAGGGCGCCCACCCGGCATGCACGCAAGGCCCTGGGTTCGGTCCTCAGCCCTGGAAAAAATGGAGCTGGAATTAAAACCTTGCCTTGCCCTGTTTTTACAGCCCTTTAACAAATCCTCATCAAAGTGAGGGGACTTAACATTTAGCTTCAAGGCACTGACATGGCAGACTTATTAGGGATGTAAAGGTACTTGTTTTCTTTCAAATTCAGACTTAGTCAATTTATTTATTAGCTGTATAGTCTTGGGCAAGCTACTTTATCTTCCTGAGCCTTTTTTTCTTACTGATATCTAAGGATGATGGTAACATCTACTTCCTAGAGTATTTAAGTACAAAATGCAACAGTCTTTGTAAAGGTCATCATATAGGACTGGCACATAGGCATTCAGTAAAAGTAGCCTCACACAAAAAATAGAACTGCAGAGAAAATTAGGTCCTGGGGCCCAAAAGGTCACAAATTCAGGCCAAAGATGACACTGAGCCAGCAGCTTTTGGACAGGCTAAGGCCTAGTCTAGGGAGCAGGCAGATGAAGCTGTTCCTGCAGTGTGTGGGTGTTACAGTAAATGGGGCAAGCAAGGAACATCTGGACGGCCTTACCTGGGGCCAGAGAAGTGCCCCAGGCAAGCCCTTTACTCTCTCTTTGAGGAGGTGTGAGCTCTTCCAGCCCTGCACTTGACACAAGGTTACTACAGTGAGCAAAAGAGCCCTCATATAGCAACATACACATAGAAATAGAAGACACGTAAGGGAAAACAAAGGAGGAGGCAACAATGCTTGATAAGAAATGTACTCATTACCTTCCCCATGTAATTGTAACCCCTCTGTACAGTATTTTCACAATTAAAAAAAAATAGAAGACACGGGTAGTTTAAAGCCTACAACTAGCGATTTTAATAAAAACTTTAAAAGAGCCCAGTGCCACTGGCTCAGATCCGTAATACTAGCTACTCAGGAGGCTAAGATCTAAGAACTGCAACTCAAAGCCAGCTAGGACAGACAAATCCAAGAGACTTTTACCTCTAGCTAACCAGCAAAAAGCTGGAAGTGGGGACTGGGAAGGTGGCTCAGTGGTAGAGTGCTTGCCTTGCATGCCAGAGGCCCTGGGTTCGATTCCTCAGCACCACATAAGCAAAAAGAAAAAAGCCGGAAGTGGCGCTGTGGCTCAAGTGGTAGAGCGCTAGCCTTGAGCTGAAGAGCTGAGGGACAGCACCCAGGCCCAGAGTTCAGGCCTCATGACCAGACCAAAAAAAAAAAAGCTGGAAGTGGAGTTATGAATCAAATAGTAGAGTACCAGCCTTGAGTATAAAAGCTGAGGTGCAGTACCCAGGCCTTGAATGCAAGCCCCAGGATTGGCGCATGCGCACACACACAAAAAGGTTACCAATTTCCATTTAATACAACTCCCTATTGCCCTTCCCAACTAAGGACTTTAGAGGCAAACAGGCTAGAAACACTGTTCAAGTTGGATAGACCCAAGGACATGTATTGCCTCTCAGATTCCCCACCCTCACCTGCGGTGGAGAGTGGACAGAAGCAGTCCACAGAAGCAGTGTGTGTTAAATTTTTATCTTTTAAGTAGTTGTACAAAGGGGTTTCAATTCAACAGGTTAGTTTATGAGTGCAATGCAGCTTGTTTGTATGTGTATGCTGATACTAGGGCTTAAGCTCTGGATCTGAGCTATCTCTGAGTTTTTATTTGCTCAAGGCTGGTACTCTACACCACTTGAACTATACCTCTGCTTCAGCTTTTGAAGGTAAGTCTTCTTGGCTGGCTTCAAACCCCTATTCTCAGGTCTTAGCCTCTGGCACCCAGCTAATACAATGCATCTCGATGAGTGTCACTAACAGGGTTTGAGGGATGGGTAGGAGTTGGTGGGAGTGGTTGGGCCTTTTAAGCCCTGGGGACTATCAGAATGTCCTGTTTGTCAGAGGGTCTCCCCAGACACCCGAGCACCCACCCGCTTCGTGGATGATGAGGAGCTGGCGTACGTGATCCAGCGGTACCGGGAGGTACATGACATGCTCCACACACTTCTGGGCATGCCCACCAACATCTTAGGTGATTGCATGAGGGAGAAGGGAGGGCAGGGCACCCTGGCGGGCTGGCTCCCTGCGTGTCTGTGGGGCAGATGCACCGGTCTTCACCAACCCACCCATCAAGCTGGGTCAGAGTCTGCCTTAGTTTCTGCTTTATGGAAACATGCCAAGTATCACCTTTGCCACACATCCCCTTTCCCCATGCCCTCTCCCCCATGTGGCTCCTACACCCATGTCACAGCCTCCAGACAACTGTGTTCCTGCTTCAGGGCCTCTAGCAGTTGCCCTGCTCTGACCCCCTCCTGGACACTCCCCACTGGGAGAGTATTTGTGTACATGCATGTGTGTGTGTGTGCACATGTGTGAGTACTAGGACCTGAACTAGGGACCTCACATTCTTTTTTTTTTTTTTTTTTTTTGGTTGGTCGTGGGGCTTGAACTCTGGGCTTGGGCACTATCCCTCAGCTCTTCAGCCCGAGGTGAGCGCTCTACCACTTGAGCCACAGCGCCACCTCCGTTTTTCTAGTGGTTTATTGGAGGTAAGAGTCTCACTGACTTTCCTTGCCTGGGCTGGCTTTGAACCATGATCCTCAGGTCTCAGCCTCCTGAGTAGATAGGATTACAGGCATGAGCCACGGGTGCCCACTAAAAGGGCCTCACATTCTTGTTTGGTTTTTTTACTTCTTCCTGGTTAATTGGAGATGAGTATCTCATGGATTTCAGGCTGGCTTTGAAGTTCTGTCCTCAGATCTCAGCTTTCCAAGTAGCTAGAATTACAGGAGTGAGCCACCAGGACCCAGCCTTCACCTGGCTTTTGAGGTCCCCTGCATGTGAACCCATTTCCCTTCCAGTCCTTATTCTCCTCTGCTTGTTCTTGGACCCTCTTCTCCACCTCCAGAGCCAGTATAGGCCTGGCCACAGCAAGCACTGGCAGGGTTGGGAGGATGCCTCTCTGGGAGCCACCAGCAGTGCCACTGCCCCCCACTTTGCACCTGCTTACCTCCATCCCATCCTTCACCCCCAGGGGAGATCGTGGTGAAATGGTTTGAGGCTGTGCAGACAGGCCTGCCCATGTGCATCTTGGGTGCCCTCTTCGGCCCGATCCGCCTCAGTACTCAGTAAGTTTTCAGGTGTGGGGAAAGGACAATAGGAAATGGGAAGGGAACACAGGTCTTGAGCTGCCCTGTGGCTCTCTAGGAGGCAAAGGAAGTGGAAGAAAGACAGAACAGGAACTGGCCTGATGCAGTGATCTAAGCCTGGACCTCAAGGTCTCTTGGGGCAGACCTCCATTATGGCAGGGTCAGAAAGACAGAGTTGGTAGAAGGCACGGTGGTGCTGGTTTTTGGAGTTGGATAGACCTTTTTTTTTTTTTTGGTCGGTCATGGGGCTTGAACTCTGAGCCTGGGCACTGTCCCTCAGCTCTTCAGCTCAAGGATAGCACTCTACCACTTGAGCCACAACACCACTTCCAGCTTTTTCTGCTTATGTGGTACTGAGGAATCGAACCCAGGGCCTCATGCATGCTAGGCAAGCACTCTACCACTGAGCCACCTTCCCAGCTCCTGGATAGACATTTTGTTCATTTGTTTATGGCAGTGCTGGGATTTGAACTCAAGATCTTTTGCTTACTAGCCAAGCACTCTACCACTTGAGCCACACTCTCAGTCTGTTAGCCCTCTACTTAAATCCAAGCTTTGTGGTACTCAAGATACATAGTTGGAACATGAGATTTTTACCTCACTGAGCTTCCCTTCAGCTTTACTGTGAGCTGGGTTAACCAAGTGCTGAGCATAAAGTGGGCTAAGTCCTTGGAACAGTGTGTCTTCTCTTCCCTCCACTGCCCTACAGGAGCCTGCAAGTACTGGTCTCGGAGCTGATCCCATGGGCAATTCAGAATGGACGCAGGTCCCCCTGTGTCCTCAACCTATACTACGAGCGGCGCTGGGAGCAGCCCCTGCAGGCCCTACGGGAGGAGCTGAGCATCACACCACCGCCCCTACAGGTGCAGAGACAGGCCTAGCCTGAGCTATGGTACCAGGAGGGCTGAGCCTGCCTCTGTGTGCCCTGCCCCCCTTGGGGTACAAGGGCCTCTGCCACTGCCTTTGTACTTTCTCTGAACGCTGACCTTTGGACATCATTGAACATAATTGTCATAGTCATTGCTATGTGGCCTGGAGGGCCAGCCTTGGAGGGAATGGACAAGGAAGTGGGGCTCCCAGGGGAGCTGGGAGCTGTCCACAGACAGCCACAGGTGTACAAGGATGGGCTACCAAAGCTTACACTGGAATGTTCATGTCCTAAGCTTCTATCTGAGACTCCTCCCTGGCAGTCAGGTTTTTCTTTGGGCCAGGTGGCCTGTCCTCAAAGGAGCAAGGGCTGCACCCAGGTCCAAAGGCTGGAGAAGAGCTGGCCAGAGAGAAGATAAGTCTGCTATCTGAATAAAAGCTTCCATCAACTCAAGTGTCTGCTTGTCCTCCTTGACCCAGTGATGTCCTCAGCTCTGACTGTCTTGGACCTTTCAGCGCTGAGGGAAAAAATTCCCTTCCATCCTGAACTTGAGCTGCATGACCCTCTCTGTGGGTCTGAATCCAGACCCGTGGGATTCAAATCCCCATCCAGCTGAGGGCTGAGGGCAGAGGGCAAATCCATTTCACTTCTCAGCCCCACTTTCATCCTCAGTCAAGGCAATGTCAGTGCCTGCCTTCTAGGGTTAATTTGAGGTGTTCTGAAATGAGGCATGAAAGAGCTCCAGAGAAAGGGCTGAGAGGAAGAAGACTTTTTTGTGGGTTTTAAGGAGGATTGTGTATGTGTGTGTGGTTTTGATTTTTTGACAGTCTGTCTACAGAACCCAAGATGACCTTAAACTTGAAATCTTCTTGTCTGCTTCCTGAGTGTTGGAATTGCAGATATGACGATCACACCCAGCCGGGGCTGTTTCCTTCTCACTGTGTTCACAGAAGAAGCTGTTTGGCTATAGTTCATTTTGAAATGACAAATAAGCACCTTCCTGGGGCTGAGAAAGTAGCTCAGTGGTAGAGTGCTTGCCTTGCATGCATGAGGCCCTGGGTTCGATTCTTCAACACCACATAAACAGAAAAAGCTGGAAGTAGTGCTGTGGCTCAAGTGGTAGAGCACTAGCCTTGAGCTGAAGAGCTGGGGGGATAGCCCAGGTCCAGAGTTCAAGCCCCACGACAAAAAAAAAAATTCCACAAGGAATGGAAGCAGGCAATGTGAAATGTGCCATTGGAAGTGTGGCGGCTCTGAGGATTTAGGGCCAGAAAACACTCCAAGATGACAGGGCCTTTGAGTGTTCCAGAGCCGCCAACTCTGTGGATAGGTCATCTGAGGCCCAGAAGTAGTCAAGGAATTGCCCCGATAAACTAGGACTCAGGCTACCAGCCTGATTGATTTTCCTATGTTTCAATGTATTATGGCCACAGCCATAATACAGCTGTGTTATATGCCAGTCAGTGCTAAGCACTGGAGGCCCCTCACATGGCACCTCAAGGTGGTCCCTGGGTGGGAGACTATTATTAGTGAGGTGTTGGCATGAGAGAGGCTCTGCCTGCTACTTCCAGTCCTGGGCTTCTCCACTGGAGGAAGCTGTCCTGACTCACTGGACTCCTGCAGGAAGAGAAGGGGCTCCTTGTGCCTCAGCCATCATGGCAGCTGTTTCCATGGCTTCCCCACCACACACTGCAGCCCAGTGAGTCACATGTGGAGGTGTGGGAGGTGGTCACACTCCTAGATGGTTCTCTCTGTCTTCCATGTGGATCTCTTACCCCTCTAGACACTAACTATGGAGTAGCATTTGTTTTGTGAGCTCATGGTTGGAGAAAATAATACTACCACTGACTTTTATTAGCATTCATTTGTTATACAAGGAAGATTTCATTGTGACATTTCCATATATGTATACAAGATGTCTTGATCAAACCCTCTCTATTGGTCCTTCTCCTCTACCTTTTTATCCAATGAAATAAATTCTTTTTTTTTTTTTTTTTGGGTCCGGTCGTGGGGCCTGAACTCTGGGCCTGGGCGCTGTCCCTCAGCTCTTCAGCTCCAGGCTAGCGCTCTACCACTTGAGCCACAGCACCACTTCCGGCTTTTTTCTTTTTGATTATGTGGTGCTGAGGAATCGAACCCAGGGCCTCGTGCATGCAAGGCAAGCACTCTACCACTGAGCCACCTTCCCAGCCCTGGGATAAATTCTTTTGCGTGTGTGTGTGTGTGTGTGTGTGTGTGTGTGTGTGTGTGTGTGTGTGTGTGTGTGTGTGTGTGTGTTGCAGGGCAAGAGTTTGGACTCATAGCCTGGCCACTGTCCCTTAGCTTTTTTGCTCAAGGCTTTTACTCTACAACTTAAGTCACAATTATACTTCCAGCTTTTTGCAGGTTAATTGGAGATAAGATGTGAAATGCCCAGACTGGCTTTGAATGTGATCGATGCTCAGATCTCAGCCTTCTGAGTAGCTAAGATTACAAACATGAGCCACCAGTTCCAGGCTTCTTTCTTTCATTCTTTGTCAGTATTGGGGTTTGAACTCATGTTTTCTTGTTTACCTAGCTGGCTGGCTGGCTGGTACTCTACCACTTGAGTCATGATTCCAGTCCTTACTGTTTTTTTGAGCTCTTGGTATATTCTGTATATTAATCTCTCCGTTAAATATTTTTCGTCTATTAGTAGTCTCATTGGTGGTTTTGTTCTATCTTTTCCATGCAGAAGCTTTTAAATCTGATGCATTCCTATTTGTCCAATCTTGCTTTTATTTTCTTGGAGTCCTATTTAGAAAACAAGCTTATGTTTTCCTGCAGTAGTTTCAGTTTCAGATGTTATGCTTAGATCTTTGATCCACTCAGAGTTGATTATACTGGGTAACAGGTAGGGATCTAGTTTCAGTTTCCTGCATGTAATCAGTCAGTTTTCCCAGGACCATTTGTTGAAAAGGCTGTCTCTTTTCTCCAGTGTACGTTTTTGGCTCCTATGTAAAAAAACAAGATGTCTGTAGCTATTACAACAAACATCTGGGTCATCTGTTTCATTGTTCATTGTGTAAGTGCCAAGGTCTTCCTATGCTGTCTGGCTTGAACTCAGTCCTACCTCAGCCTCTCAGTGCTGGATTATAGACATGTACCACCACACGTGGCCTGAGTTGTTTGTTGTGTTTTTTTTTTTTCTAAATTGTGTATATGTGTGTTTTGGTGGTGCTCCTGGAATTTGAACTCAGGGTCTTGCTAGGAAAACATTCTACTGCTGAACCACACTTCAGCTCCCACTCTGAGTGTGTGTGCGTGTGCGTGTGCGTGTGCGTGTGCGTGTGCGTGTGTGTGTGTGTGTGTGTGTGTGTGTGTGTGTACACCAGTACTAATGCTTAAACTCGGGTCCTGGGCACTGTCCCTGAGCTTTTTTGCTCAAGGGTAGCTAGCACTTCACCTCTTAAACTACTTCCAATTTTTTTCGGTGGTTAATTGGAGATAAGAGTATCATAGACTTGGGGCTGGGAAGGTGGCTCAGTGGTAGAGTGCTTGCCTTGCATGCATGAGGCCCTGGGTTCGATTCCTCAGCACCACATAAGCAGAAAAAGCCGGAAGTGGTGCTGTGGCTCAAATGGTAGAGTGCTAGCCTTAAGCTGAAGAGCTGAGGGACAGTGCCCAGGCCCTGAGTTCAGGCCCTATGACCAGCAAAAAAAAAAAAAAGAGTATCATAGACTTTCCTGCCTAGGCTGGCTTTGAACCACAGTCCTCATATCTCTGCCTCCTTAGTAGCTAGGATTATAGGCATGAGCTATCAGCGCCTTGCTGCAGTCTGAGTTCTTAACCTATGATGCCCTACCAATTTCTATTTAGAAACTTTCATTCTCCTATCTCACCATACTTGCCTTGCAAGAATGTCACCTCAGATAGCCCAGTCTGGCCTCAAACTCGTGATCTGCCTGCCTCAGCCTCCAGAGTAGCTTTGATTATGGGTGTACATCAACATTTTTTTTTTTTGGTCGGTCGTGGGGCTTGAACTCTGGGCCTGAACGCTGTGCCTCAGCTCTTCAGCTCAAGGCTAGTGCTCTACAACTTGAGCTACAGTGCCACTTCTGGTTTTCTGGTGGTTTATTGGAGATTAGAGTTTCATGGACTTTCCTGCCCCGGTTGGCTTTGAACCTCAATCCTCAGATCTCAGCCTCCTGAGTAGCTAGGATTATAGGCATGAGCCACCAGCGCCCGGCTCATCATGTTATACTTTTGGGAGCAGCATTGTCCATGGATGGTTACTTGGGTCAATGCATTGTCATTTACTCAAATATCTCCACCTCAGAGAGGCCTTCCTTTACCACCCCATCAGAGAGGCAGCATACAGGAGTTTGATACTTCACTGTCAAACAAGTAGTCAGGCCCAAGTCCGCACCTTGCAATAAGCCTGAAAGTAGTAAATAACCTTAGCTTTTTGTTTTTGTGTTTTTGTCAGTCATGTGGCTTGAATTCAGGGCCTGGGCACTGTCCCTGAGTTCTTTTTGCTCAAGACAATGCTTTACCACTTTAAGCCACAGCTCTACTTCCACTTTTCTAGTGGTTTATTAGAGATAAGAGTCTCATGAACTTTCCTGCTGGGGCTGGTTTTGAACCATGATCCTCAGATGTCAGCCTCCTGAGTAGCTAGGATTACAGGTGTGAGTCACCAGTCCTCTGCCAGAACTTTAACTTTTTGGGCTCCTGGGGTTGTACCAGGACTGAGGGCTAGCCTTTCCTGGAATGAACAGGTGTTAATTTCTCTCCTGCAGCCCAGAGAAAGCCCTTTTCCCTCTGCTTGATTAAAAAAAAAACATAGGTAGTGTGCTGGGGAGTATAGGCTTGTGGTAGAGCACTTCCCGAGAATGCCCAAGGTCCTCGGTCCAATCCCAGCACCACAGAACAAACATGTAAATATTTAATAACAAAACAGTATTTGGGTACCTGGCCCACACCACTAGCTCTGCTCCCTTGCAATAGTGTTATCACCATGTGAGCCGCCTGTTTCCCCAGCTGTAAAATGAGACAAGTAGCCGGGCGCTGGTGGCTCACGCCTGTAATACTAGCTATTCAGGAGGCTGAGATCTGAGGATCGTGGTTCAAAGCCAGCCCGGGCAGGAGAGACCATGAGACTCCTATCTCCAATAAACCACCAGAAAACCGGAAGTGGCGCTGTAGCTCAAGTGGTAGAGCGCTCGCCTTGAGCTGAAGAGCTGAGGGACAGCACCCAGGTCCAGAGTTCAAGCCCCATGACCAACCAAAAAAAAAAAAAAAAAAGAGACAAGTAGCAAGTAATACACCTATTTCTGGGCAGGGCCATGGGAAGGCTCAGTAAATGGTACAAATTAGGCTTATTGGCACATCATAGGCACTAGGGAAAGGAAGTTATCATTGGCCAGGAAGGCCTCTGGCGACTTATAAAATCACTATGTGCAAAGTCAAGTCAGAGGTATTAGTTTGGACAC